TATAAAATTACTCGTACATGTCACATTAAAATCTATTTTGTCCGTATTCGATTTCTAAACAAAGATTTACATTTAGGATTACGTATAATTGCTGCCTAATGGAAAACAATTACATTGAAGTGGCGCAGAAGCTCTAGATGTAATCTTTATTTAATAGAAGCAATGATATTTACTTATGGTGGTGATTTGTTTTTAATTGCAAAGGGAAAGTGAAGGTATATTTATGTCGATATACGCATCGTCTTGGAATAACACTTCCTTTACGCTGATGAAGGACAATTCACTTCGCAATGATGAAGTCAAGCATTCCGTTTCGGTTAACTGGTTGGAAAATTTTCTACGTTAATCGCCAAACAGATGAACATCCTCAAGACAACATATTCTTATATTTCTGTTCTACGAGCAGCACTACTAAAAAATAATTTTGAATTCGAGTAAAAATGCATGCGTACATCTCAATATGTGTCTTTTGTGTGTGAACATGTTTTGTATGTATATGATAAGATTTAAAGTATGCAGAAAGCAATATTATATAAAAATTCATATTCATAAAGAATGCAAATTTTAATTAAGTATTTGAGACATACACTTCTCCATGCAGTAATTTAAATATTTAAAATATTTAGTTGCATCAATAGTCTTATATCGATAACGTATTTTGCTTATATTTATGTGATATTGGATCTTACATCAAGTAGAAAGTATTATATATATTTATTAAAATTAATAAATTCCTTAAAATATTACAGCAAGTCAACCTTTTACACACAGATGATTAAATCAAAGTATTTTTTAGGTATTTTATTTGTTATAAAGTAATTTTTATTATACTTATTATTTTTCTTCTTTTATTTATATTATTATATGCGAAATTTTGCTATACAAAACTGTTTAATATTAATATCGTATGTATAAAAAATAAAATATTGCTATCTCTCCTTGCCAAATTCGTGTACAAATCTCAATAAAATTTTTTTTCGGCATCCGCAGACTCTCATCTCGTCGTCCATATTTTTTTTCGATGTCCATTCTCTCTCGAAGTCCATCTCCTCTTGACAGGTGTGCATTGACACTTACTTGTCGCATCTTAAATATATATTTCATGTTGTATTTTATATATAAAAAATCTCAACTTTACGTAGCGTATGCAGCGTGTAGTACCGTCGAATGAATGTTCGCTTAATGTCGGAATTATTGAACTTGCCGAAAACGATTGTTGAATTCGACGGTCTGAATTCAATAATGGCGCACACGAGTCACATTTCGTCCGTTCGCGATGTTGACGGGCGTCCTGCGCGGGCCTCGTCGGCGACCTCCTTCCGACCTTCTCTAAACATCTTGGGCCATCTTGTTTGACTGCGATTTGGAAAGCAATCGTCCCGAAAACTTTCTTGAGCATTTCAAAAGTTTCCAGCGGCGTCTTGTCCAGCTTCACGCAAAACTTTATCGCATAGCGTGCTCTATCGTTCTCTCCATCACAAGTTCGACGCGACCACTAAGCAGAGGTTCACAGAATAAGCCGTCCTAACCCTCCAAGCGCATGGGAAACAATTGAGCGACCTAGACCGTTGGAAAGCTAAGGGTACCCCCCTTCCTCCCCACGCGGTCCCAATCGCTCGCGATGTATAGTCGCGTCACAAAAAAAATGCGACGCATTACTTTCCGAAAACCCTGTATCTCGCGAATTATACCGTGTCGTGCTGTTGTACTGAATCGATAGGGGCGAGAGATATCGATAATCGAATTATTTCGAACCAATTCGAGATTTCGAGTTGACACAACAAGCAAGTGTCAAATGCACATCTGTGAGGGAGAGAATGGACTTCGAGAGTCCGGATTGCGAGAAAGAATTTCCCGGTTTGTACGCTTCCGAATCGGCGAGAAAGAGCATGAAGCGGATTGTACTTAACAAACATCATCGATTATATCTACGTTTGACGTTTCAGACAGTAGACACTGCGAAAGAGAGTTTTTGCATCTGGCCAGGGTCCGTTTAGTCGAAATATTATAGATTTGACCTCTTTTCTCTTCCTTCCTCCTTCTCTCACTGTCTCTCATATTAATTCTAAATATTTATGATACCACAAGGTCTTAATAATTTTTATAATGTAAGTTAGGATGAAGGCATCCACGACAAGCATTCCAAAAAGGAGCTCTTGTCTAATTTTTACATAATTTCTGGCATTCCTGAAGATGTGCTATTGATCATTCGCAAATCAGTTCACCGAGAGTGCAATTTTCTCAAGAGGGATTAATTTTGAGGTAAGCATGCTTTATAAAAAGATGTCTCAGTTGCGCACAATATAAATCAGACACTGCCAATCAAATTGCTTACTTAAGCAAGACTAGGATAGATTTAGCTAATCTAATTTAAAATTATTATTATTGTTAATATATATAAATTTCAGAAACATTCCCTTGACAGCGACATAATAATTACTCCTTCTTCAAGATTGTCAGTTAGCTCACTGATAGATAGTAGATTATTAGAATTTTTAACCCCTGATGCTAGTGGAATGTCTGGCATTCCTGAAGGATGTGCTATTGATCATTCGCAATTCAGTTCACCGAGAGTGCAAGATTTCTCAAGAGGATTAATTTTGAGGTAAGCATTGCTTTATAAAAGATTCTCAGTTGCGCACAATATAAATCAGACACTGCCAATCAAATTGCTTACTTAAGCAAGACTAAGATAGATTTAGCTAATCTAATTTAAAATTATTAATATTGTTAATATATATAAATTTCAGAAACATTCCCTTGACAGCGACATAATGATTACTCCTTCTTCAAGATTGTCAGTTAGCTCACTGATAGATAGTAGATTTATTAGAATTTTTAAACCCCTGATGCTAGTGGAATGTCTGGCATTCCTGAAGGATGTGCTATTGATCATTCGCAAATCAGTTCACCGAGAGTGCAAGATTTTTCAAGAGGGATTAATTTTGAGGTAAGCATTGCTTTATAAAAAGATGTCTCAGTTGCGCACAATATAAATCAGACACTGCCAATCAAATTGCTTACTTAAGCAAGACTAAGATAGATTTAGCTAATCTAATTTTAAAATTATATATTGTTAATATATATAAATTTCAGAAACATTCCCTTGACAGCGACATAATAATTACTCCTTTACTTATGGTGGTGATTTGTTGCAAAGGGAAAGTGAAGGTATATTTTATGCGATATACGCAACTTCCTGGTTTACGCTTCCTTTAAACGCTGATGAAGGACATTCACTTCGCAATAATGAAGTCAAGCATTCCGTTTCGGTTAACTGGTGGAAAATTTTTCTACGTTAATCGCGAAACAATGATGAACATCCTCAAGACAACATATTCTTATATTTCTGTTCTACGTATAGCACTACTAACAAAATAATTTTGAATTCGAGTGAAAATGCGATGCGTACATTTCAATATGTGTCAGTTTGTGTGTGAATATGTTTGTATGTATATGATAAGATTTAAAAGTATGCAGAAAGCAATATTATATAAAAATTCATATTCATAAGAATGCAAATATTTAATTAAAGTATTTTGAGACATACACTTCTCCATGCAGTAATTTAAATATTTTAAATTATTTAGTTGCATCAATAGTCTTATATCGATAACGTATTTGCTTATATTTATGTGATATTGGATCTTACATCAAGTAGAAAGTATTATATATATTTATTAAAATTAATAAATTCATTAAAATATTACAGCAATGTCAACCTTTTACGCACAGATGATTAAATCAAAGTATTTTTTTAGTATTTTATTTGTTATAAAGCAATTTTTATTATACTTATTATTTTTCTTCTTCTTTTATTTATATTATTATATGCGAATTTTTGCTATACAAAACTGTTTAATATTTAATATCGTATGTATATAAAAATAAAATATTGCTATCTCTCCTTGCCAAAATTCGTGTACAAATCTCAATAAAATTTTTTTTCGGCATCCGCAGACTCTCATCTCGTCGTCCATATTTTCTTTCGATGTCCATTCTCTCTCGAAGTCCATCTCCTCTTGACAGGTGTGCATTTGACACTTACTTGTCGCATCTTAAATATATGTTTCATGTTATTTTATATATAAAGATCTCAACTTTACGTAGCGTATGCAGCGTGTAGTATCTCGCGAATTTATAAACGGTTAGTGCTGTTGTACTGAATCGATAGGGGCGAGAGATATCGATAATCGAATTATTTCGAACAAATTCGAGATTTCGAGTTGACACAACAAGCAAGTGTCAATGCACATCTGTTGAGGGAGAGAATGGACTTCGAGAGTCCGGATGTCGAGAAAGAATTTCCCGGTTTGTACGCTTCCGAATCGGCGAGAAAGAGCAATGAGAGCGATTGTACGTAACAAGACATCATCGTATTATATCTACGTTTGACGTTTCAGACAGTAGACACTGCGAAAGAGAGGTTATGCATCTATCAGGGTCCGTTAGTCGGAAATATTATAGATTTGTACCTCTTTTTCTCTTCCTCTTCCTTCCTCCTTCTCTCACTGTCTCTCATATTAATTCTAATATTTATGATACCACAAGGTCATTAATAATTTTTTATATGTAGTTAGTGATGAAGGCATCCACGACAAGCATTCCAAAAGGAGCTCTTGTCTAATTTTACATAATTTCTGCTGGCATTCTGAAGGATGTGCTATTGATCATTCGCAAATCAGTTCACCGAGAGTGCAAGATTTCTCAAGAGGGATTATTTTGAGGTAAGCATTGCTTTATAAAAGATGTCTCAGTTGCGCACAATATAATCAGACACTGCCAATCAAATTGCTTACTTAAGCAAGACTAGGATAGATTTAGCTAATCTAATTTAAAATTATTATTGTTAATATATATAAATTTCAGAAACATTCCCTTGACAGCGACATAATAATTACTCCTTCTTCAAGATTGTCAGTTAGCTCACTGATAGATAGTAGATTTATTAGAATTTTTAACCCCTGATGCTAGTGGAATGTCTGGCATTCCTGAGGATGTGCTATTGATCATTCGCAAATCAGTTCACCGAGAGTGCAAGATTTCTCAAGAGGGATTAATTTTGAGGTAAGCATTGCTTTATAAAAAGATGTCTCAGTTGCGCACAATAAAATCAGACACTGCCAATCAAATTGCTTACTTAAGCAAGACTAGGATAGATTTAGCTAATCTAATTTAAAATTATTATTTTGTTAATATATATAAATTTCAGAAACATTCCCTTGACAGCGACATAATAATTACTCCTTCTTCAAGATTGTCAGTTAGCTCACTGATAGATAGTAGATTTATTAGAATTTTTAACCCCTGATGCTAGTGGAATGTCTGGCATTCCTGAAGGATGTGCTATTGATCATTCGCAAATCAGTTCACCGAGAGTGCAAGATTTCTCAAGAGGGATTAATTTTGAGGTAAGCATTGCTTATAAAAAGATGTCTCAGTTGCGCACAATATAAATCAGACACTGCCAATCAAATTGTTTACTTAAGCAAGACTAGGATAGATTTAGCTAATCTAATTTAAAATTATTAATTTGTAAATATATATAAATTTCAGAAACATTCCCTTGACAGCGACATAATAATTACTCCTTCTTCAAGATTGTCAGTTAGCTCACTGATAGATAGTAGATTTATTAGAATTTTTAACCCTGATGCTAGTGGAATGTCTGGCATTCCTGAAGGATGTGCTATTGATCATTCGCAATTCAGTTCACCGAGAGTGCAAGATTTCTCAAGAGGGATTAATTTTGAGGTAAGCATTGCTTTATAAAAAGATGTCTCAGTTGCGCACAATATAAATCAGACACTGCCAATCAAATTGCTTACTTAAGCAAGACTAAGATAGATTTAGCTAATCTAATTTAAAATTATTATTATTGTTAATATATATAAATTTCAGAAACATCCCTTGACAGCGACATAATAATTACTCCTTCTTCAAGATTGTCAGTTAGCTCACTGATAGATAGTAGATTTATTAGAATTTTTAACCCCTGATGCTAGTGGAATGTCTGGCATTCCTGAAGGATGTGCTATTGATCATTCGCAATTCAGTTCACCGAGAGTGCAAGATTTCTCAAGAGGGATTAATTTTGAGGTAAGCATTGCTTTATAAAAAGATGTCTCAGTTGCGCACAATATAAATCAGACACTGCCAATTAAATTGCTTACTTAAGCAAGACTAGGATAGATTTAGCTAATCTAATTTAAAATTATTATTATTGTTATATATATAAATTTCAGAAACATTCCCTTGACAGCGACATAATAATTACTCCTTCTTCAAGATTGTCAGTTAGCTCACTGATAGATAGCAGATTTATTAGAATTTTTAACCCCTGATGCTAGTGGAATGTCTGGCATTCCTGAAGGATGTGCTATTGATCATTCGCAATTCAGTTCACCGAGAGTGCAAGATTTCTCAAGAGGGATTAATTTTGAGGTAAGCATTGCTTTATAAAAAGATGTCTCAGTTGCGCACAATATAAATCAGACACTGCCAATCAAATTGCTTACTTAAGCAAGACTAAGATAGATTTAGCTAATCTAATTTAAAATTATTATTATTGTTAATATATATAAATTTCAGAAACATTCCCTGACAGCGACATAATAATTACTCCTTCTTCAAGATTGTCAGTTAGCTCACTGATAGATAGTAGATTTATTAGAATTTTTAACCCCTGATGCTAGTGGAATGTCTGGCATTCCTGAAGGATGTGCTATTGATCATTCGCAATTCAGTTCACCGAGAGTGCAAGATTTCTCAAGAGGGATTAATTTTGAGGTAAGCATTGCTTTATAAAAAGATGTCTCAGTTGCGCACAATATAAATCAGACACTGCCAATTAAATTGCTTACTTAAGCAAGACTAGGATAGATTTAGCTAATCTAATTTAAATTATTATTATTGTTAATATATATAAATTTCAGAAACATTCCCTTGACAGCGACATAATAATTACTCCTTCTTCAGATTGTCAGTTAGCTCACTGATAGATAGTAGATTTATTAGAATTTTTAACCCTGATGCTAGTGGAATGTCTGGCATTCCTGAAGGATGTGCTATTGATCATTCGCAAATCAGTTCACACCGAGAGTGCAAGATTTTTCAAGAGGGATTAATTTTGAGGTAAGCATTGCTTTATAAAAGATGTCTCAGTTGCGCACATATAAATCAGACACTGCCAATCAAATTGCTTACTTAAGCAAGACTAAGATAGATTTAGCTAATCTAATTTAAATTATTAATATTGTTAATATATATAAATTTCAGAAACATTCCCTTGACAGCGACATAATAATTACTCCTTTACTTATGGTGGTGATTTGTTGCAAAGGGAAGTGAAGGTATATTTTATGCGATATACGCACTTCCTGGTTTACGCTTCCTTTAACGCTGATGAAGGACATTCACTTCGCAATAATGAAGTCAAGCATTCCGTTTCGGTTAACTGGTGGAAAATTTTTCTACGTTAATCGCGAAACAATGATGAACATCCTCAAGACAACATATTCTTATATTTCTGTTCTACGTATAGCACTACTAACAAAATAATTTTGAATTCGAGTGAAAATGCGATGCGTACATTTCAATATGTGTCAGTTTGTGTGTGAATATGTTTGTATGTATATGATAAGATTTAAAGTATGCAGAAAGCAATATTATATAAAAATTCATATTCATAAAGAATGCAAATATTTAATTAAAGTATTTTGAGACATACACTTCTCCATGCAGTAATTTAAATATTTTAAAATTATTTAGTTGCATCAATAGTCTTATATCGATAACGTATTTTGCTTATATTTATGTGATATTGGATCTTACATCAAGTAGAAAGTATTATATATATTTATTAAAATTAATAAATTCATTAAAATATTACAGCAATGTCAACCTTTTACGCACAGATGATTAAATCAAAGTATTTTTTTAGTATTTTATTTGTTATAAAGCAATTTTTATTATACTTATTATTTTTCTTCTTTTATTTATATTATTATATGCGAATTTTTGCTATACAAAACTGTTTAATATTAATATCGTATGTATATAAAAATAAAATATTGCTATCTCTCCTTGCCAAAATTCGTGTACAAATCTCAATAAAATTTTTTTTCGGCATCCGCAGACTCTCATCTCGTCGTCCATATTTTCTTTCGATGTCCATTCTCTCTCGAAGTCCATCTCCTCTTGACAGGTGTGCATTTGACACTTACTTGTCGCATCTTAAATATATGTTTCATGTTATTTTATATATAAAAAGATCTCAACTTTACGTAGCGTATGCAGCGTGTAGTATCTCGCGAATTTATAAACGGTTAGTGCTGTTGTACTGAATCGATAGGGGCGAGAGATATCGATAATCGAATTATTTCGAACAAATTCGAGATTTCGAGTTGACACAACAAGCAAGTGTCAAATGCACATCTGTTGAGGGAGAGAATGGACTTCGAGAGTCCGGATGTCGAGAAAGAATTTCCCGGTTTGTACGCTTCCGAATCGGCGAGAAAGAGCAATGAGAGCGATTGTACGTAACAAGACATCATCGTATTATATCTACGTTTGACGTTTCAGACAGTAGACACTGCGAAAGAGAGGTTATGCATCTATCAGGGTCCGTTTAGTCGGAAATATTATAGATTTGTACCTCTTTTTCTCTTCCTCCTCCTTCTCTCACTGTCTCTCATATTAATTCTAAATATTTATGATACCACAAGGTCATTAATAATTTTTATAATGTAGTTAGTGATGAAGGCATCCACGACAAGCATTCCAAAAAGGAGCTCTTGTCTAATTTTACATAATTTCTGGCATTCCTGAAGGATGTGCTATTGATCATTCGCAAATCAGTTCACCGAGAGTGCAAGATTTCTCAAGAGGGATTAATTTTGAGGTAAGCATTGCTTTATAAAAAGATTCTCAGTTGCGCACAATATAAATCAGACACTGCCAATCAAATTGCTTACTTAAGCAAGACTAGGATAGATTTAGCTAATCTAATTTAAAATTATTATTATTGTTAATATATATAAATTTCAGAAACATTCCCTTGACAGCGACATAATAATTACTCCTCTTCAAGATTGTCAGTTAGCTCACTGATAGATAGTAGATTTATTAGAATTTTTAACCCCTGATGCTAGTGGAATGTCTGGCATTCCTGAAGGATGTGCTATTGATCATTCGCAAATCAGTTCACCGAGAGTGCAAGATTTCTCAAGAGGGATTAATTTTGAGGTAAGCATTGCTTTATAAAAAGATGTCTCAGTTGCGCACAATATAAATCAGACACTGCCAATCAAATTGCTTACTTAAGCAAGACTAAGATAGATTTAGCTAATCTAATTTAAAAATTATTATTATTGTTAATATATATAAATTTCAGAAACATTCCCTTGACAGCGACATAATAATTACTCCTTCTTCAAGATTGTCAGTTAGCTCACTGATAGATAGTAGATTTATTAGAATTTTTAACCCCTGATGCTAGTGGAATGTCTGGCATTCCTGAAGGATGTGCTATTGATCATTCGCAAATCAGTTCACCGAGAGTGCAAGATTTCTCAAGAGGGATTAATTTTGAGGTAAGCATTGCTTTATAAAAAGATGTCTCAGTTGCGCACAATATAAATCAGACACTGCCAATCAAATTGCTTACTTAAGCAAGACTAGGATAGATTTAGCTAATCTAATTTAAAATTATTAATATTGTAATATATATAAATTTCAGAAACATTCCCTTGACAGCGACATAATAATTACTCCTTCTTCAAGATTGTCAGTTAGCTCACTGATAGATAGTAGATTTATTAGAATTTTTAACCCCTGATGCTAGTGGAATGTCTGGCATTCCTGAAGGATGTGCTATTGATCATTCGCAATTCAGTTCACCGAGAGTGCAAGATTTCTCAAGGGATTAATTTTGAGGTAAGCATTGCTTTATAAAAAGATGTCTCAGTTGCGCACAATATAAATCAGACACTGCCAATCAAATTGCTTACTTAAGCAAGACTAAGATAGATTTAGCTAATCTAATTTAAAATTATTATTATTGTTAATATATATAAATTTCAGAAACATTCCCTTGACAGCGACATAATAATTACTCCTTCTTCAAGATTGTCAGTTAGCTCACTGATAGATAGTAGATTTATTAGAATTTTTAACCCCTGATGCTAGTGGAATGTCTGGCATTCCTGAAGGATGTGCTATTGATCATTCGCAATTCAGTTCACCGAGAGTGCAAGATTTCTCAAGAGGATTAATTTTGAGGTAAGCATTGCTTTATAAAAAGATGTCTCAGTTGCGCACAATATAAATCAGACACTGCCAATTAAATTGCTTAGCAAGACTAGGATAGATTTAGCTAATCTAATTTAAAATTATTATTTTGTTAATATATATAAATTTCAGAAACATTCCCTTGACAGCGACATAATAATTACTCCTTCTTCAAGATTGTCAGTTAGCTCACTGATAGATAGTAGATTTTATTAGAATTTTTAACCCCTGATGCTAGTGGAATGTCTGGCATTCCTGAAGGATGTGCTATTGATCATTCGCAATTCAGTTCACCGAGAGTGCAAGATTTCTCAAGAGGGATTAATTTGAGGTAAGCATTGCTTTATAAAAAGATGTCTCAGTTGCGCACAATATAAATCAGACACTGCCAATCAAATTGCTTACTTAAGCAAGACTAAGATAGATTTAGCTAATCTAATTTAAAATTATTAATATTGTTAATATATATAAATTTCAGAACATTCCCTTGACAGCGACATAATGATTACTCCTTCTTCAAGATTGTCAGTTAGCTCACTGATAGATAGTAGATTTATTAGAATTTTTAACCCCTGATGCTAGTGGAATGTCTGGCATTCCTGAAGGATGTGCTATTGATCATTCGCAAATCAGTTCACCGAGAGTGCAAGATTTTTCAAGAGGGATTAATTTTGAGGTAAGCATTGCTTATAAAAAGATTCTCAGTTGCGCACATATAAATCAGACACTGCCAATCAAATTGCTTACTTAAGCAAGACTAAGATAGATTTAGCTAATCTAATTTAAAATTATTAATATTGTTAATATATATAAATTTCAGAAACATTCCCTTGACAGCGACATAATAATTACTCCTTTACTTATGGGGTTTTGTTGCAAAGGGAAAGTGAAGGTAATTTTATGCGATATACGCAACTTCCTGGTTTACGCTTCCTTTAACGCTGATGAAGACATTCACTTCGCAATAATGAAGTCAAGCATTCCGTTTCGGTTAACTGGTGGAAAATTTTCTACGTTAATCGCGAAACAATGATGAACATCCTCAAGACAACATATTCTTATATTTCTGTTCTACGAATAGCACTACTAAAAAAATAATTTTGAATTCGAGTGAAAATGCGATGCGTACATTTCAATATGTGTCAGTTTGTGTGTGAATATGTTTGTATGTATATGATAAGATTTAAAGTATGCAAAAGCAATATTATATAAAAATTCATATTCATAAAGAATGCAAATATTTAATTAAAGTATTTTGAGACATACACTTCTCCATGCAGTAATTTAAATATTTAAAATTATTAGTTGCATCAATAGTCTTATATCGATAACGTATTTTGCTTATATTTATGTGATATTGGATCTTACATCAAGTAGAAAGTATTATATATATTTATTAAAATTAATAAATTCATTAAAATTACAGCAATGTCAACCTTTTACGCACAGATGATTAAATCAAAGTATTTTTTTAGTATTTTATTTGTTTGTTAAAAGCAATTTTTATTATACTTATTATTTTCTCTTTTATTTATTATATATTATATGCGAATTTTTGCTATACAAAACTGTTTAATATTTAATATCGTATGTATATAAAAATAAAATATTGCTATCTCTCCTTGCCAAAATTCGTGTACAAATCTCAATAAAATTTTTTTTCGGCATCCGCAGACTCTCATCTCGTCGTCCATATTTTCTTTCGATGTCCATTCTCTCTCGAAGTCCATCTCCTCTTGACAGGTGTGCATTTGACACTTACTTGTCGCATCTTAAATATATGTTTCATGTTATTTTATATATAAAAAGATCTCAACTTACGTAGCGTATGCAGCGTGTAGTATCTCGCGAATTTATAAACGGTTAGTGCTGTTGTACTGAATCGATAGGGGGCGAGAGATATCGATAATCGAATTATTTCGAACAAATTCGAGATTTCGAGTTGACACAACAAGCAAGTGTCAATGCACATCTGTTGAGGGAGAGAATGGACTTCGAGAGTCCGGATGTCGAGAAAGAATTCCCGGTTTGTACGCTTCCGAATCGGCGAGAAAGAGCAATGAGAGCGATTGTACGTACAAGACATCATCGTATTATATCTACGTTTGACGTTTCAGACAGTAGACACTGCGAAAGAGAGGTTATGCACTATCAGGGTCCGTTTAGTCGGAATATTATAGATTTGTACCTCTTTTTCTCTTCCTTCCTCCTTCTCTCACTGTCTCTCATATTAATTCTAATATTTATGATACCACAGGTCATAATTGTTTATAATGTAGTTAGTGATGAAGGCATCCACGACAAGCATCCAAAAAGGAGCTCTTGTCTAATTTTACATAATTTCTGGCATTCCTGAAGGATGTGCTATTGATCATTCGCAAATCAGTTCACCGAGAGTGCAAGATTCTCAAGAGGGATTAATTTTGAGGTAAGGCTTGCTTTATAAAAGATGTCTCAGTTGCGCACAATATAAATCAGACACTGCCAATCAAATTGCTTACTTAAGCAAGACTAGGATAGATTTAGCTAATCTAATTTAAAATTATTATTTTGTTAATATATAAAATTTCAGAAACATTCCCTTGACAGCGACATATAATTACTCCTTCTTCAAGATTGTCAGTTAGCTCACTGATAGATAGTAGATTTATTAGAATTTTTAACCCCTGATGCTAGTGGAATGTCTGGCATTCCTGAAGGATGTGCTATTGATCATTCGCAAATCAGTTCACCGAGAGTGCAAGATTTCTCAAGAGGGATTAATTTTGAGGTAAGCATTGCTTTTATAAAAGATGTCTCAGTTGCGCACAATATAAATCAGACACTGCCAATCAAATTGCTTACTTAAGCAAGACTAGGATAGATTTAGCTATCTAATTTAAAATTATTTTTTGTTAATATATAAATTTCAGAAACATTCCCTTGACAGCGACATAATAATTACTCCTTCTTCAAGATTGTCAGTTAGCTCACTGATAGATAGTAGATTTATTAGAATTTTTAACCCCTGATGCTAGTGGAATGTCTGGCATTCCTGAAGGATGTGCTATTGATCATTCGCAAATCAGTTCACCGAGAGTGCAAGATTTCTCAAGAGGGATTAATTTTGAGGTAAGCATTGCTTTATAAAAAGATGTCTCAGTTGCGCACAATATAAATCAGACACTGCCAATCAAATTGTTTACTTAAGCAAGACTAGGATAGATTAGCTAATCTAATTTAAAATTATTAATATTGTAAATATATATAAATTTCAGAAACATTCCCTTGACAGCGACATAATATTACTACTCTTCTTCAAGATTGTCAGTTAGCTCACTGATAGATAGTAGATTTATTAGAATTTTTAACCCCTGATGCTAGTGGAATGTCTGGCATTCCTGAAGGATGTGCTATTGATCATTCGCAATTCAGTTCACCGAGAGTGCAAGATTTCTCAAGAGGGATTTATTTTGAGGTAAGCATTGCTTTATAAAAAGATGTCTCAGTTGCGCACAATAAAATCAGACACTGCCAATCAAATTGCTTACTTAAGCAAGACTAAGATAGATTTAGCTAATCTAATTTAAAATTATTATTATTGTTAATATATATAAATTTCAGAAACATTCCCTTGACAGCGACATAATAATTACTCCTTCTTCAAGATTGTCAGTTAGCTCACTGATAGATAGTAGATTTATTAGAATTTTAACCCCTGATGCTAGTGGAATGTCTGGCATTCCTGAAGGATGTGCTATTGATCATTCGCAATTCAGTTCACCGAGAGTGCAAATTTCTCAAGAGGGATTAATTTTGAGGTAAGCATTGCTTTATAAAAAGATGTCTCAGTTGCGCACAATATAAATCAACACTGCCAATTAAATTGCTTACTTAAGCAAGACTAGGATAGATTTAGCTAATCTAATTTAAAATTATTATTATTGTTAAATATATAAATTTCAGAAACATTCCCTTGACAGCGACATAATAATTACTCTTCTTCAAGATTGTCAGTTAGCTCACTGATAGATAGTAGATTTATTAGAATTTTTAACCCCTGATGCTAGTGGAATGTCTTGGCATCCTGAAGGATGTGCTATTGATCATTCGCAAATCAGTTCACCGAGAGTGCAAGATTTTTCAAGAGGGATTAATTTTGAGGTAAGCATTGCTTTATAAAAAGATGTCTCAGTTGCGCACAATATAAATCAGACACTGCCAATCAAATTGCTTACTTAAGCAAGACTAAGATAGATTTAGCTAATCTAATTTAAAATTATTAATATTGTTAATATATAAATTTCAGAACATTCCCTTGACAGCGACATAATGATTACTCCCTTCTTCCAGATTGTCAGTTAGCTCACTGATAGATAGTAGATTTATTAGAATTTTAAACCCCTGATGCTAGTGGAATGTCTGGCATTCCTGAAGGATGTGCTATTGATCATCGCAAATCAGTTCACCGAGAGTGCAAGATTTTTCAAGAGGGATTAATTTTGAGGTAAGCATTGCTTTATAAAAAGATGTCTCAGTTGCGCACAATATAAATCAGACACTGCCAATCAAATTGCTTACTTAGCAAGACTAAGATAGATTTAGCTAATCTAATTTAAAATTATTATATTGTTAATATATATAAATTTCAGAAACTTCCCTGACAGCGACATAATATTACTCCTTTACTTATGGTGGTGATTTGTTGCAAAGGGAAAGTGAAGGTATATTTTATGCGATATACGCAACTTCCTGGTTTACGCTTCCTTTAACGCTGATGAAGGACATTCACTTCGCAATAATGAAGTCAAGCATTCCGTTTCGGTTAACTGGTGGAAAATTTTTCTACGTTAATCGCGAAACAATGATGAACATCCTCAAGACAACATATTCTTATATTTCTGTTCTAACGATAGCACTACTAACAAAATAATTTTGAATTCGAGTGAAAATGCGATGCGTACATTTCAATATGTGTCAGTTGTGTGTGAATTGTTGTGTATGTATATGTAAGATTTAAAGTATGCAGAAGCAATATTATATACAAATTCATATTCATAAGAATGCAAATATTTAATTAAAGTATTTTGAGACTACACTTCTCCATGCAGTAATTTAAATATTTTAAAATTATTAGTTGCATCAATAGTCTTATATCGATAACAAAAGATAACGTTTTTGCTTATATTTATGTGATATTGGGCTCTTACATCAAGTAGAAAGTATTATATATATTTATTAAATTAATAAATTCATTAAAATATTACAGCAATGTCAACCTTTTACGCACAGATGATTAAATCAAAGTATTTTTTTAGTATTTTATTTGTTTATAAAGCAAATTTTTATTATACTTATTATTTTTCTTCTTTTTTATATTATTATATGCGAATTTTTTGGCTATACAAACTGTTTATATTTAATATCGTATGTATATAAAATAATATTGCTATCTCTCCTGGCCAAAATTCGTGTACAAATCTCAATAAATTTTTTTTTCGGCATCCGCAGACTCTCATCTCGTCGTCCATATTTTCTTTCGATGTCCATTCTCTCTCGAAGTCCATCTCCCTCTTGACAGGTGTGCATTTGACATTACTTGTCGCATCTTAAGGGTCGGCAGAGCGACATGGTGGAGACGCTATCGGCCGCCGGAATTACGGATTC